TGATTTCTTTAATGGGCATTAACAATCTGATTGTAAGATGGAAAAGCATCATTGATGAAAATGGAGACTATTTCATTTAATAAATGTTTTGTTTCGATATGTAATTTGTTCAGGTTTTTTCATCTAAAAAAAGCAACATTAATTTCTTGACGACCTAATACTTTAACACTACTTTTGCATTTCCTTTCATATGAGCTTACAGTGATATAATAAATTTCATTACATCTCAAATATGTAGTGTATTAGATCTACAAGTTTGACCAAACATATAATGTATTCAAATATAATTTGAATATAATATCACACTGTTAAGAATGTAGTTTAAGCATTTTTCACAAACCTGTTATTCAAATAAAAAATAGAAACAAGATGGGAGAACTTCATGCTGTTATGAGTCTAGATGATTTTGGTCCTGCCAATCTCCCCAATTTATGTGCTGGAAATACGTATTGTACCATACAGGAAACATCTGAAAATCAGGTATTTCATCCAATAAGGAAAATATTTTTTTTTTTATAATTTTTAAATTTTAGAAAGTATTTTTAAAATATGAGTTTTATTATGCTTAATTAAAAGTAAAAACCCAAAATATTTTTATTATTTCTCTACACAAAATAAAATCTTTAAATTTGTCTTGCAATTGTTACTTGCCTTTGATGCATCTTTGCTGATTTGTCATTTTAATGCAAGTTGTAAATTACTTGTATATTTGTATAAGATATTCCCCACTCTAGGTATTGCACTGAGTTAACCTCTGTCAGTTTTTGGACCTCGTTTTGTGATGTTACTGCAACTTTGATGTACAGGATTAATGTCTGCGAGTAATGTTTCTGCAGTAAAATATAGAAAATGTACTGAATATTTTTGATTATTAAAATAGAATGATATCTTGGTCAGGTACTATTCTGAGCATGTGCTGCAGATCTAGCAAATGAAGAGTTGTAGTGTTGTCACAATATTACATCCAGGGAGTAATAAGAGATAGATGTAATATGTCAACTAATATTGAGGATAGCTTATAAATGTATTGAGGTATGTATTAGAACTCTGCAATATTGACTTCATTTCACAGTTGTAAACATTAAAAGATGAATCATTTGTGTGTTTTAACTCTTTCAAATTTTTGAAATTTCACATGCGAAATGTTTATAATGTTGAGATAGTTATCAAATGTTTCTTTGGAAAAAACTATTTTATCTGTTATTTTCAGTAGATTTGTCTGATCTTGCAACCACCATAAAAATTAGGATATAAATATAAGTTATGCTTCTTTCATTCTAGAATGAACACAAACTATAACACAAAAACATAAAAGTTTAGATTAAATAGCTTAAATCTCATAACATTATACATTTATATATATATCTATTATATTTATTATATTGACCTTTCAGCCATGCGTGGCTAACAATACACAATTATGTGGCTCACGTGCACTCATGTTACCATATCAAGTAACATAAAACTGACCTTTGGTCTATACAAAGTAACTTGTCTTGGCTGTGTTTTAGTAGACTAGTATTTTGTAAAATACAGTCACATTTCAATTATTATACATTATATATGTAGATAGATTATTGCTAGTTTGAAATAGGCTCTTAAACATATTTTTCCTAAAATATGGAACAGTAACTAAAGAAGTAAAGCAAACAATTATCTCTTCTAGTTACAACCTTTGTACTCGGTTGCTGCTTGACGTAGGTTGCTAAGCCTTTAAAAAATTGCACGTGGAGGATATGAAGCAAAATATTTATTTTAGGTTTTATATATACATTTGAATAAATAAAAAATCATTAATTACTACATTTATACCATAGAATTACACTCTAATTTATCAAGCTTAGTAACTTAGTGGCTGAGAAAGCTACTAGAGGGACATTCTGAGCTTCCGATTAGTTATTTGTGTCATATATAGAAGTAAGTGTATATAAGGGAGCATTTCCAAAAATGGAAAGAGGTGGGCGGGGTGCAACTCTGTTTGATTTATTACGTCAGCAATATCTTAGCAAATTTAACAGATAAGAGCCTTTTATTTTATATTCTAGCTTGTCAATATCGGTAATTTGAATTTCTAATTCGTTCGAAATTATAGACTTAGTATTTTAGCTTCACAAACATTTAATTTGAACCAGTGCTGCATTCAACATACCTTGTGGCACACAAAAATCGATGTTTATCTGTGCTTTTTTAATATTTGTTTTTGAATTAAGAAATTGAATAATATATAGTACTAAAATTTGGATTATAATCTGCAGTTTGATACCAAAGTTATTGACATAAATTCATGAAATAGTTTAATGAAATTTTGAATGCGAGTCAACAAATGAGATGACATGGCCTTTCACCCATAACCCGTCTTGAAAAGGTATAGGTCCTATTACCGCTAAGTATGAAACTATTTATAAGCATAATTAAATGGTTTATTTTGAGGGGAACATACTGCGTGTTTCGACAGTTTCATACTTGAAGAAGACAAACTAGTGTTCTGTTGAAACGTGTAGTATTCCACAAAAAATAAACCATTTTAAATTGCTTATAAATCATTGTTTGTCAATTTACTGTAATAGAGGAAGTAAATGTTTACTATACCATTCCAGTTGATAAGAAATGTTTAACACACAGTAATGTATGTTATAATTAGAATATGTATATTTTGTGTTTTTATTATGTTTCATGAAAAACAGAGTCACATATATTGTTTTATTAGATATATTGGAATAAAATATTTGATGATGAAAATTTGTATGTTTATTTTTGGTATTAACCTCATTATTTAACTTGTTATATTATGGTTTGTATTAAGTGTTCTTTTCAGTCTGCCAGTAGCTGGTATTGTACCACGTAATTAAACTATTTATACACTATGCAAGAGTAACGAAATTGATAATAAGTATACGAATAGGGGTTTCTTATGTTCCTGTTTTTTGTTTTTTTTCAGCAACTGCATTCATACAACAGCTGTTACAATTTTAAATTTCATATGTGAATTTCAGATTTTTTTTAGAAATGTAGCATTTTGTTAGGCTACCTTCTCAGATTAGTCATCATTGGCATCTAATCATTGTATAAACATGATTAAAACCTTGAATGTTTTACTGATTTTTAGCCTATGATTATAATTATATTACATAGAGAAAATTTGTAACTTTCAGTAAGGTTTATTAATATCTGTCTGAATTTTAGTTTTAATTTTACAAAAAATTATCATAAATTTTATTTAAGGCAACAGGAGTGTGGAATTTTAGAATAAAAACTTCTTATCCAAGGGACAAAATACTAGAAAAAATATTTTTCCCTCTCCATCCCACAAAACACACACAAAAAAGTAAATATATCTTTTAGGATTTTGCTTTTATTCGAGAGTGAAGAGTAAAAAAAATTCTGGGATTCATACTTTTAGAAAGTAAAATAAAATGCACTTATGACCCAGTTGTTTGCATAATTTCTATTAATTTAAATCATTAGGGCTTATTTATCATAATATCTACATTAAACATTATTTTGCAGACATGACACAAAGGTACTCTATTCAGAAGTAGAGTATTTTTAAAAGCAATTAAAATGACACTACATGAATGTGTTTTCAAAAAGTGTCTGTTTCCTAAACTCCACTTTTTTTTTTTAGTTGAACTACTGTATATCCATTAATATAATGCCATTGGCATCTCAAGTTTGTGAAGAATTGTGTATATTGCCTTTAGCATCTAAGCTCTTCATATATATATATTCACTCATATATTTTATGGTTTTTAACATTTAGTTATTAAGATTTTACAGAGCAACATGTAGAAATCAATAATAATAAATTAACATGTGTAGCAGTTAGTGAAAAACCACAGTAAATGAAACAAACTGTCAGAAGTCTCACATGAGACTGAAGAGGATGCACAAATTTGTTCAAACTAATTTTTCTAATATCAAGATTTCTGACAGTTTTCTTTCTATTTACTGTGGTTATTCACTAAAGAAATCAATGTTTATGTTAGTACTGCCACAAGTTAAAATGGTGTTTTAATGTGTGTGTTTATGTGTGTATATATATATATAAAATCTTTATTATGTTACTTATTCTTCCGAGAGCTGGCAATCAAACTTCTGAAAGCACCTAAATTTCAATTGTAAATCGAGTAGAAACCAGTTAAGTTTCCATTGGAGAACTTTAGTTGAAGCTGTTTAAGTTGAAAACTACTACTATCACTGTTTAAGCTATAACAAAAAAATATACTTTACAGTTAGTTATTTTTTATTTTTTGCTACTTGTATTTATGTAGAATAACATTACTGCATTGCTAAAAACACTGAATTAAAAAAGTATATATTTTCTAAAGTTATTACACAATATTCCAAGTAATTAAGTTTTATTTCTGTGGTTGAAAACTAATGGGTGAGATGAGGAAATTTTAACACAGGCCCGTGCCAGAATCTTACACAGGTGCAAGTAGCTTATTTTATAGCTTTATGCTTAGATAAACAATTGTTAGTATTATTAAGAAATTTCTTGATTATAAATGTTAGCTGTTCCCCAGTGGGTCAGCAGTAAGCTTATGAACCTACAGTGCTAACATCTGGTGTTCAATTTCATGTGGTGGAAAGAGCATACATAGCTGATTGTGCAGCTTTGCACTAAACAAAAACAACACAGTGTCAGATTTAATTTTTTTTTTAAATTATGATACGAAATGAATATTTACAAATGTGTTCAACTTAGTGTAGGTTTAGGCTAAGTAAATAAAGTAGCATGTATTTTTCAAAGACAGTAAAATATTCTTCAAAGGATAGAAATTGTTCAAAAGTAAAATTTAAAAATATAGTTTTTAATCCTGCTTACTTTGCATTACTAATTGTTATACCAAAAAAGTAGAACTTGCATACTAAATCACCATCCTCTAGTTTACAAAAGGGGATGTGATATTTGAAGATAGGATTTCTGGAAGAACAAGTGATTCTATCATCTTAAAGCAAAAATCAATGTCATGATTCACATCTATATTTGAACATAAGTCAGCAATCACGTGAGTTTTAATTAGCTTGAGGACATACACTACAGTGGAACTGTACTTTAATGAGTTTTATGCTTATACATACAGCTTATTTTCATGTAAGAATAGAGGAATATTATAAAGGAATTTTCTTTGTGAATAAACAATTTTCCTCTTGATGAAAATAGAACCGATTATTGAGTTATTACTAGCAGTCAGTTGTTGCTATTTGCAGGTTTTATTACATTATATGCAGATAAAAATAGTACTTTGAAATGCTTGAAAAGGTCCTCATGTTTAAAAATAAATAATGGGTTATAATTGTATTTTGTAACAGTTTTTTATCATTCTGTTCTTAGCAGAATAAAACTACCTTTAAAGTGAAAAAGACTACTGAAGATGTTGGGACTGGTGAACCTCTAAACATGCAGTGGAGAGAGAACATCACCTCTAAAACTCAGCAACCCAAATTAAATGAGCAGAAATTGATTCAAGCTGCTTTAGAACTAGAAATGTGGAAAGAGCAACAAGAATTACTTTTTAAAAAACATGCAAGTAAAATTTATATTTTGTACAACTATCACTATTGCCGACATTTCCTTTTCCAGTATGAAATTAAATAATGTCATATAGTAAGTGATTTAATCAACCACTTATTTTATCAGTTTAAGGATTGATAAAATTGGATATCTCGTTCATTGTGTCAGATATGTAATTATCCAATCAGCTGGTAGGACTTGTTGCATTTAGGAATGCAGACTTATTCTGTAGTCAATGATATGTGGCTATCACTATTATAAGAAAATTGTACACAAATAATGATTTGAATAAATAATCAGTGAAGATAGATAACTTGTTTATGACTGACAAATAAGGGTAGCATTCAAAGATTAGTTTAGTGGATGAATGCTTAATTCAATATGATTGTTTTTTAGAAAATAAAGCTCAGACATAATTAATATGAGTAGATATTAGGTATTTTAAAAGGCATATCAAATACTACTTAATTAAAGTAAATCAGCTAAAAAATAAAAGATCACTGTTAAATTACTTGTGTAATAATTATAGCTCCTGCTAGACTCTTCCCATGCCCTGTTGGTCCACCTCGCCTGCTTACTTGTTTGGAAGTTAATTGGGTAGAGTTTTCTCATTAAGTTGTTTCTTATTACCCCATGCAGCATCTTATTCATTTGGAGGTTCTCTTCAATTCCTATATCAGTCGGGCCCAGCCTTCTCCACTTAAGCTTCTGGATATGGAAGGAGCAATCACAAAGGCTCTACCTTCTCCTTCTCTCTCTGTACAGGAGGTTCTATCTCTTTTTGGGGATGTGGATTTCCTTGGAAGATCTCATTCTCTTGTGTTAGGTGCACATGCATTCCCTTTAATGGACACTTCTTGACCAGTGGAACTTCTCCCACGATCCATTGGACCATCCCTGGGATCAAGGCTGACCTTGCTTAGTGGCCTGAGAGGGGTGGGGGTTCTCACTCCTCCTCCTCGTCCCGAGTCTCATCTGTCCAAAGATGCTTTCTTGGTGTGTTGGAGGGCTTTCCTCGATTCCCGGGAGATTTCAGGTCAATAGTCAGTCAAAGAGGCTACTCTCTATATCAACATCCTAGAACTTTTGGCAGTTTGTCAGTCCCTTTTTCATTTCCTCCCACTCCTGCAGGGATGGATGGTTTTGGTTCATTCTGACAATTCCACTGTTGTCAGCTAAATCACCAACTATGAGGCAACCAAGTCCATGTCTCTGTGTTTTTAGACTTTGAATGTCATGTACTGGGCCAACTACCATGACATGACAGTCCTGGTGTGTCATGTTCCTGGAATTATGTATCTTGTGGCTGATCTCATCCCAACCAGGTTCTCCCTACGCAATGGTTCCTTTATCCTCAGGTATTTTGGTAGGTCTGTTCTCAACTGGGAACACTGCATATAGATGTGTTTGCCACTCACTGTAATGCCAAACTTCCTTCCTTTTGGTTTCCAATTCCACACCCCTCAGCTCGGGAGGTGGATGCATTCAGTCAAGATTGGAGGGGTTTCCACCTACCCTTCAATTATACTCCTCTCCAGAGTCATTTCCCTTGCCATGTCCACTCCTTGTGTTTTTGTAGTTTGTCGTTTGTCTAGTTCATTCCCAACAATGTTATGTGGCTCGTACAGCCTCCTTTCATGGTTCTTATTCCCGTGTATTTGTTCCATGGAATTCCTCTATATCCTGTGATTTATCACAGGATACACTCTCTAACTGGGTTCATCAACTCATACTGGCATATTCTGACTTGTCCATGGAAGGTTACCATCTACATAATGTTTCTGTGCACCAAATTCATCATATAACTATTTCTTTAGCTGCTCGAATCTGCTGTTCTTTCGAAGAGATTGTTCAGGCTGGTATGTGGACAACTCCCAATACATGTCTCACGTTATCTACACAACCTAGCTGTGTCTTCATCGGGCAGGTATCGTTTTCTGCCTGTGGTGATTCTACACACATCTGTTTGCCTTTGACTGGGATAAGTCGACATATTATTGTTTTTTCATCTTATTTAATTGACATACATTATATTTCAGGATCCCTCCTGGCAGCAGTGTGTTGCCTTGCATGCTTCTTATTATATTAGCACTAAATCTCTATACTTCTATAATGCCACTTCTATAATTTCTGTAAGACCACTGGCCATTTGTCCGGTGGTATGTGTGTATATATATAT